TTCTGTCCTTAGACTATTAAAGGTCTTTGGGTGGATGCACCTATGCAAAGAGAAAGAAGAAGCTATGACCTTTAATTTTCAAAGTAGAAGACAGCATTTGAAGCATTTTATGTTTTGAAAAATGAAGTAATTATACATTGACTGGTAGCTTGTTAGTGACAAACACATGTGTAAATTGCATTATTATGGTAAATTATTCACCATAGCACAACAGATATAGCAGTAGCGGAGGATGGTTGTTCATACAACAGTGTTGTGCATTGTGGTTGCATCCCTCATATTACACATTCTTGTTGCACACTGCACAACTGTCACTGACACATGTTGTATAATTTTGCTATTCTTTGTGGGGGTTGAATAGTGCTGGTATTGTCCAATGTGGATATTTATACTGCGCTGAAGGGATGTTGGATTGTTTGTCCACACAATCCTGTGTGTATGTTCCTAACAACACCTGTTGGTTTGTTTCTGTGTACCTTCAAGTTGTTTCCAACTTATGGTGAATCTAAGGCAAACCTATCATGGGGTTTCCTTGGCAAAATTTGTTTAAAGGAGGTTTGCAATTGCTTTCTCCTGAGGCTAAGCACATGTGACGTCCCAGGTCACCAGTGGGTTTCATGGCCAAGCGGGAATTCAAACCCTGGTCTCCAGAGTCGTAGTCCAACACTCAAACCACTATGCCACACCTAACAGAATCTATTCCACTGAAGTCTATGATTCTTCCTCCATTCCACGCAGACTTTGAAACTTCAACATCAAGTTCCCCCCACACCTCCATGCTGGCAGTGGTGTCATTACAGGGGTTACAGTGGTCAGGCCTCACTGGGTAACATCCCAGAAGATGGATGACACCCAGTCAGCCCCCCACATGCCATCCCTATGCACCCCCCTGCATGCTCCCCATCCCTACATGCTATCCCTGTGCATTCCTCATCCCCATGCTCCCCCTGCATGCTCCCCATTCCTGTGCATACCATCCCTATGCACTTCTCCTGTGCGCCATCCCCTCCTTTTGCTCATCAGGAACAGGACAAGGTGGCACAGGGGGAAGGAGTGTGTGCCACCCCCATGCCCCACCTCCCACACCAGATGACACTAGATGTGGGGACTCTACTGTGTCCTCTCTTTCCACCTGTTCCAGTCTGTTTTTTGTACCATCTTGCCTAACAAAGTGATCTGAAGCTAAATCCAACATTATACAACCAGACTTGTGCTCACATAATAGGCATTTTCCTTGCTGCCTTTACTTCCTGTAGCCTCCTAATGTCAAATTTGGTTGGTCCTAAAGAAAACTCAAAAAGCCCTATTGCCCTTGTTTTTAGAAATTTCTTATGGGCCAGCATAGCATATTCTATATTTCAATAATAATCCTTTCAGCTTCATCCCATGAATACCTAATGTACTTTCAAGTTACCTGTTGACTTATGGCAACCCCATACATTTCATAAGGTTTCCTTTACGCAAAGAATACTTAGATTTCCCATTGCTTTCCTCTGAAATATAACCTATAGCAATTTGTATTCCTTGGCAGTTCCCCATCCAACTACTAACCAGGCCTGACCATGTTTTTCTTCCAAAATCAGAAAAGATCAGGTGCCTCCACGGTATTTATGCCACCCCCATGCATGTTTAGTTAAAAGTAAATCCCACTGAATTCAAGTGGATCTGACATTTACATATCTGTGTAAAGAATTACAATCTTAAAGTAAGGTTTAAAGACACAATTCAACTTATTTCAAAGTATTTCTTGAACAATCTTGAGACGAAGCTGAAGTGGGGAAAAAATGTGAAATGCACCTGGTTTCCAGAGAAAGAGGGAAGGTGAACAAAGAAATGAAGTGAAAATTACTATATGAAGCCCTCTGTACCAGACATGGGAATCATATGGATATCCAGAAGTTGTTAGATTATCAGTCTCAGTGTTCTGCACAATTGGCTATGTTTGTCAAGGCTGCTGGGGCTTGCAGTCCAAACACATCTGGAAGACTGTATGATTCTCACCATGCTCCATATCTTCCTCAGCTGTACATTTCTGTTCAGCCCATTTATAAATGCTGAGAGTGGACGTTATGTGATTTATACTTGGGACAGTAACGTTTGAAAGAGTTAAAATTTTGAACAACAACTCTCAGAATCTCCCCACCAATGCAACCAGTGATCAAGATGGACAGGGGATTCTGGAAGATGGAGAGGGGATTCTGCCCTCTCTGGAGAAAGATTTAGCAATCTGTCCCTTTGATTTGATTGAAGGTCCTACGGTACCTGAAAGCTTGTACAGTTTAGCAAAAAAGCAAATTATCTTATTTCTCCTCCCCCCAAAAAATTTGAAAGCAGCAATCAACAGATTTTATGAAAGGATTTTACAAATAGATGGCGCTAAATCTCCATGTCCTGGAAGATGAACCAAAAACACAGTGAACTTGCAACCTAATTTGGAGTTTCAGTGAGACTTTACTGAACAGAACATACCAGGCTGTTGAGCTGGGAGCATAAGGAACACATTCAAGCCAAGAGGTCTTGGCAGGGTCAAGACTTTGGTCATCATTAGTTTGGATGCCTTGTTGTTCTGTTTTCCTAGGTAGATTTATAGTTATTTTTTACCCATAGGGTGATTTCAATAAAAATCTACTAATTTCACAAGTTTCACAAAAGAACAGAGGGTGTGGTAGACCTATCTGGTTAACTTTTTTTTTAATGGACAAATAACCTGCAGATGAGCTTGTGAGGTCTTATTTGTAGATTCTACATATACAAACACAACATACACACACAGATTCCATAATTAAAAATATACCAATTTAGTATCTGAGTTCAGGCTATTTCATGCTGGTAGGAGCTTATAAGGAATGCAGTGACTCATGTGGTTAAGCACTGACTCTGTTGATTGCAAGATCAGCAGGTTGGCAATTCGAGATCTGGGTGTTGCATGATGGGACGAGCTCCCATCACTAGTCCCAGCTTCTGCCAACCTAGCAGTTCGAAAGCATGCAAATGCAAGTACATAAATAGGTACTGCTTCTCAGTAGAAAGGTAAACAGTGTTCTGTTGCAATCATGCTGGTCACATGATCACAGAGTAGTCTCTGACAACACTGGCTCTTTGGCTTAGTAAGGGAGATGAGCACCACCCCCTATGGTCAGACACAACTTGACAACCTTGTCAATGGGCAATGCCTTTATCTAGGAGCTTATAAAGCAAGGAAACTGGAGCTAAGGCTGAAGCCTTAAGAAGAGAACTGCCTTGGGATCAGCACTGATATTATGCAATGTGGTTGCTCATAACTTTCCTTCCATGCATGCATCCACACTTTGCCTTTGATGTTCATGCCCACATCTACATGGGGGGAAGATAGAGTGTACAGCATAAGTTTGATATGTTCAATGTACAAGTTAAAGAGATAGGGTGATAAAATGCATTCTTGTCAGACCCCCTTGCCAACTGGAAACCATTCCATTTCTCTGTATGCTATACTTGTTAGGTTTAAATGGGATATAGAGTCAATGTTAAAATGTT